CACAGAGGGGACCCTGATGACACATTGGCTAAGCTTTCAAATGCTAACCGTAAGTTTGGTTGTTTAAAGCCCCCAGCTGAGATGTGGCTGTCTGCTGTTAAATCTTACAGGGCAGTTCTGCTCTGCTCCACGGGGTAGTTGGGAGTCAGAATTCACTTAACAGCAGTGGTTGTTTTTGGTCATCAAGAGAGGGAAGAACACTAAATTAGGCATCTAACTAAGCTGATTTTGAATCTTGATTCTGAAGCTTATTAGTATCATAGAAGCCAATTGCATAATGTTGCTGAGCTTCAAGATTACTAGCATCTGGTTTGGGTGATAAGGGAACCATAGTAAGATTTTGTGATGATACAATAAATTGCACAAACCTTGCTGAGTGCCAGAGCAGCAGGATGTCTGGCGGGTAGGTTTTCCTCACAGGAGCCCTATGGGATACTTCCCACCTGTGCCTGCGTGGCCTGCGATGATTGTGAGACATTTACACAAGTGCAGATGGGAAGATGCCCCACACAGAATGCCAGGTCTCGAGATAGGTTGTCTGCAGAAGTGATATGTTCCGTAGCAGTGTTTATATTTGTAAGGGTCACAGAACATTCTGAGAATTCAATGGAAACCTTTGTCCCTCCCCACTGAAAAATACACCTGAGCACCTTCTGAGACATGCACAGAACAAGGAACTGGAAAACATGGGTGGGGGTCCTAGTTCATCATGTATTAACGATGACCCTGCAAATCCAGGTGTCCTCCAAGTCTTTTAAGTCCTACTCTTTAAAGTCATTATGAGTAAAAGTACCTAGTGCACAGATTTGTTACCGAAGCGAATAAGCCAATGTGGATGCGAAAGTGCTGTGTGCACTGCAAAAGAATGTATAAATTTGAGGCATCATTATGCAGCCCCTGATGCATTACTGTTTCTAGCATTATAGTCAGGATCAGGACACTGTTTGTGAATTTAGCCTGAAGCAAGAGAACAAACTCAGTGTCGCCAAAGAAGGAAATGAATAAAGGCAGCGATGTGACAGAGCCTTGCAGAGAGTAACTGGAGAATTTGAACACATGCAGGCAAACAGAGGGGTACTTCCAGAGTTTGTTGAGCCTGGATGCAAAAGTGAAAGCAGTGGGGGGAATGATGTTTATAGAGGCTTAGCAGCGTGATGATTTTAGAAAATGCCTTCAGTCTAGCAGCCATTGAACATTTTTACTGCTGGGTACTATGGAGATAAATACAAATGTGGTGGTCCATATTTAGTTTGGAATTCACTAGTGCGAGAGGAGAATAATCACATTCACTCGGTAAAAACTGCGTCTCTGCTCTGCAGCACATTAGCTGTGGAGCTTGGGAAACTTGCAGCCAATCCTCATTATTTTCTATTTGCAAATTCACTAATTAAAATAAATTTATTTGTAAAGCTAAAATGTATACAACTTTACATTTTGTTTGTGGGTATACAGTAGGTGAAAATACCAACTAGAAAAAAGAAAAAGAAACAGTAGTATTAACATATAGAGAAGAGGCTTAGTTCTCTCAGTTGGGGGAAAAATGATGACATTCCATCCCCACCTGTTTTGTACTTTTAACAGAACTTATTTTCTCTGTATCTTATTATGTTACCAATGAATGTTCTCAAGCATTGTCATAAGTATTTCATTAGATAATTCACGCACAATCCCCCCGAGTGATCACATGGGAGATTTTCCTGATTTGTGGAAGCCCCTCTCCAGAGGGAAGACTAGCAGCCAGAAGGGTGGGGGATCACACATTCTGGGAATGGAAGCATTTTCCAGGTTACAACTAGATGGTGGTTTGAAATGATTCATGTGGTTTCGGGAATTCTTAATTACTCATGGTCCAGAAGCCGGAGGCAGTCATGGTTCTGAGACTGTGCTCTTTTAACCTCTTTTCTCTTGAGATCCAGAAAGGATATCCAGGATAGATCTAAAAGAGAAAGAAAGAGATGCATAATACTGGAGTGCAGAATCCCTAAACTGATGCCATTGCATCGAGTTTTATTTGTAGGGCCCCTCTGTATTTCTGAACCCGTAAATCTTTACAGGGGCAGAAAGTCCTGTCTTTTTCCTGGTGAGTAGCTGGTGAGTTCAAACTGGTAGCCTTGTGGTGAGGAGCCCACTGTGTAGTTCACCCTGCTATCAGCATCCCCGGTGAGGGGCAGAGTCCCTGTTGTTGTGTCCAGTCAGTTCTGTGATGTCGAGTTCGTTTTGACTCACAGACACCTTACAGACAACTGAATGAAACACCGCCTGGTCCCACATCGTCTTGTTGCCACCGCTGTGTTGACCCATCTTGTGCATGACCTTCCCCTCTTTTACTGCTGCCCCTCTACCTTACCAAGGATGATGTCCTTTTCCAGGAACCGGCCTCTCCTGATAACAGATCGAAGTATATGAGAAAAAGCCTTGCCATCCTTGCCTCTAAGGAACATTCTGGCTGTACTTCTTCCAAGACAGATCTGTTTGTTCTTTTGGCAGTCCAAGGTGCATTCATTATTCTTTACCAAAATACATCAGTTTGCCTTGGGTCTTCTTTATTCAATGTCCCTTCCATAGTCCAAGTCCTTAGGGGCTGCAAATAGTTAACATGTTTAGAGGGTGGAGTCCACCGAGAAGCTATTCACAAGAAAAGACTGGTGATCTACCCCCCAGAAATTAGCCACTGAAAACCACAAGGGCCACAGTTCTACCCGTATACACATGTGGTGTACAGAATTGGCTCCGTGACTCTGTGCTTTTGAGTTATGTGGGGGTTGGTGGGCAGAGGGCAGCAGAAGAGGAGAGATAATGCTCTAATGGCTCCCATTTTTATCTCCAAGCTCTTGACCTATTTTTCTCGTCTTCTCTGCAGGTGCACAATTGACAACCGAGTCACCCGGGTGGCCTGGCTAAACCGCAGCACAATCCTATATGCCGGAAATGATAAGTGGTGTCTGGACCCCCGTGTGGTCCTGCTGAGCAACACTCAGACCCAGTACAGCATCGAGATCCAAAATGTGGATGTGTATGACGAGGGCCCTTACACCTGCTCTGTGCAGACAGACAACCACCCAAAGACCTCCCGAGTTCACCTCATCGTACAAGGTAGGTGGGCGCAGTCTTGCAACAGGGGCAGGGAGGCTGAACCACCCTCACTGGAGACTTCGGCTGTGCCTCTCGATGGGCATGAGATGTCTGTCTTTTCTCACCCGAGCAGATGCTTCGTTGTTAGGCTGCAGTTATAAGGTTATTTTTTGCGGTTGTTTTTTGGATAAGTTTGATTGAGTAGGAATGAGATTTTAAATATTAAAAAATCCTGTACAAATGGTGTATTTTCTCAGAAAATAATCGTGTAGGTGTTGTTTTCCATCCCTTTTTTCTCCCTCTGTTCCCTCGGTATCATCAAACTTTAATTTTGCTGTAGTGAGTTGAAGGCTAGCATTTGAAGGATACTTTGATACTACACACACACTCTGAAGCCTCTCCCAGGCTGCAGGGACAGCAGAACTAGTTCTGGGCAACCATCGCAGACACGCCCATGACAACCTCTTTCATTGCTTCCAGCCTGCTTGCAGCGTCTCTCAGGTCCCTAGCCCTGCATCTTGCCTTGAATGTCTACATCTTGTACCACGGGCTTTGGCTGCTGCCTTAGACCATTCTCCAGAACTCCTTTTCCTGCCCATCCAGCTCCCAGGTCTTCTCCCTTCTCCCCGCCTCCACTCAGTTCCTTTGACTCTGTATATCGCAGGTCCTATCATGGGTGTGGGAGCGCCCTGGTGCTATAGTGTTTATGTGTTGGGCTGTTAGCCACAAGATTACCAGTTCAAAACCACCAGCCACTGGATGGGAGAACACGTGGCTTTCTATTGCCATAAAAATGTACAGTTTTGGAAACCCACCCGAGCAGTTTTTCCCTTCCTGATGGGGTCACCATGATTCACAGTTGACTCAATGGCAGTGAGTTTCTGAGTTTATTTTTGCATAAATGTGCTAGTTTCTAACCACGTGAAAAACAAATCGTCATACGTATACCACTTTATTAGGCTGTGCCAATTTCAAATATTAGTGAGTAAAAGCTTATTTTAAATCAGACCTTTTTATGTTCTATGAGACCTTGATCAAGGTATTAGCTATGTCTCTGTGTTCTACTTCCATAAGATCAGGTTAATGATGTGAGGAATTGTGGTGAGAATGAACCTGAATCATTCATAGAAAACCTTTAGAATCGAGCCTGACACACAGCGCTGCCTGTTAGTTAGGTTTTCTCAATTTGGAAGTGATTGCCATTATTCTTTCATTTTTCTAACGCTTTTTAGGAGGGATGAGACACTGCTATAAAGTGTCAGAAGTTTAACCCCTAGCCAATAGAGTCACGACTCCTCCGTCGTGGTTCCCGACCCGAGTCTCCCTTTCTTTATGAAGTAAGTGGCTGCTCGAGGCGCGCCCACTCCTCTCCTGCAAGTCTCCGTCTTGCCCTCTTTAATGATTTAATCAGGCGAAGTTTCTCTCTTTAAATGAAGAGTCAAGCATAGCCAGATAATTGGCCAGAGAAAGAAGGGGAGAGAGGTGGCTCTCAGAAGGAAAATGCAACCTGGAATAATTATGGCACAGCAATCATGACAAGGCTGACCTGTAACGTGTGGAACATAGATTCTTGTATTCTGACAACGGTGATAGAAATAATGAGAGGAGGCAGGGATTAAAATAGGGACTGTGTAGTGACAAGCTCTACCTTGAGAACTCAGCAGTGGAATATTTAGATCCCTCATGCTGTAGCAACGTTAGATTATACCAAGTTTTGATTGCTTTATTATCTCCTCTCCATAGTCTTTCTTACAAAAAGGAAATGGTGATGACTGTTTTTTTGTTTGTTTGGTTGGTTGGTTTGGGTGGGTTTTTAAAATTTTTTTATTATTGTTCTTTATATGACTAGCTTTGGAACTGCTCTTGCAATCAGCATTAATTGGAGTTTTCAGTGTGGCTGTTGAGAACATACTCAGCAAAGCCTGCTCCAGTTCCCCCATCTCGACAGGTCCACGGACAGTGCTAATAATATTTAGGTTGTGCAACTTCTTTTCTTACCCTCCTTCTCCAACTTGCCCCTCCCCCGCTGACATAAAAGCAGGCCTCGCAAGATCCCATGTGCACCTTGAAGTCGCTGCTGTTGCTTTGATGGAATATGGGTTCTTAGTGGAGCATGATGCTCCGGGCAGACTTTTCTTTTTTTTAACTAGTTAAAGTAAAACTATTGTTTAGTTTTACAATGATCGTGGGGGTGGGGGGAGGGAGGTGGGGAGTAGTTTTAGTTCAATTTTTAAAGCTTATCTGAGGGCAATAGTTTGAGGGGTTCATTCAGCCCCAAATCTGGAATCTGTGAACTTTTGACATGCTGTTCTGCATTTCCCCACCTTTTGATCAGGATTATTCTATAGACTCATTGGTCCTAAGGATCAGGAATGCTCGTCACACACCATCCAGTTCTGACCTTGTGGCAAAAGAGGAAGTTGTTCACAGGGGAAATTAGCTACATATTCCATAACTTCTCCTTATTGCTAATTGTCCTTCTTCCTCTGTGACTCTCAGTGAGGAGAAACCAATTGTCATGGTGTGGATGGCCGTTGTACACCTTTAAGACCAGATGAACCCAGCGCACTGCCACCGAATTGGTTCTGACCGATAGTGACCCTACATGGGGTTTGGGAGCTGTAAATCTTGACTGACACAGATGAGCTCATCTGTCTCCTCATGCGGCAGCTGGTGGGTTCGCAATCCCTACCTTGTGTTTCACAGTTCACAACTTACCTGACCGCACTGCCAGGCACTGCACAATCAACTATAAGACAGAACAGAAGCACTAAACACATTATTAGGCCAATTCACTAAGATGTCCCATAAAAAAGCATTAGACTGCTATCCACAAGGTCAGCTATTCAAACCCACCACCCAACGTGCTGGAGAAAGAGGAGGCTTTCTGCTGCCATACAGACTGACTGCTTCAGAAATGGAAAGGGGCAGTTCTCCTCTCTTCTATAGGGTTGGTGTGAATTGAATCAATGACATTGATTTTGGTCTTGGTTTAGTCCCATGAAACCATGACCCTAAACTTCTAAACCAAGTAATTCAATCCCATGAGGTTTTTGGTTTTCTAAAAGCAGCCTCAGTAGCACACTCATTTTACCAGTTTCACTTTTTACACATGTACAACTGATGGGCAGTAACTGCAATCCTTGCTTGTGTGGCCCGTCTATGAATCGTTGCGGCTTCCCTATTAGTCTTCGCTCCCCTCTCCCCTTTCCTCCTGCCACTGCCAATCACCAATCGACTTTTCCTCTGTGCCCTTGCTTTTGCTGCATATTTTATATCAATAAAGTCCCACAATGTAGATCCATGTGTGAATGACTGTGCCCCTCCGTGTAGTGTCTTCAAGCTCCACCCATGTCTGGAGCGTTCATTTCAGGACTTTATTTCTTTTACGGGCCAACCAGCATTTCACTGAAGGTGGCACATTTTCATGGGTTTCATCTCTTTATGGGTTTTAAGGTTGTTTCTGCCTGTTGGCTTTTGTGAACAGTGCTGCAATCGATATTATCATGCAAGTCTCTGTTTGCGTCTCTGCTTTCAGAACTTTGGGGTACATGCCTATGAAAATTATTGTTTAATCATATGGTAGTTCTATTTTTAGTTTTTTGAGACACTGCCAAATTATTTTCTATAGGAAATGAACTATTTTGCAGTCCCACCAACAATGGATAAAGGTTTCAATTTTTCCACACCCTGACTAGCATTTGTTATTTTATTTTATCCTATTCTTTTCAGTAGGAGGAAAATGTTTCATTAATGTTTGCTTTGCATTTCTCTGATGGATATTGAGCATCTCTTTATGTGTTTGCTGGCTACTTAAATGCCCACTTTAAGCAATATAGCTTGATGTTCTTTGTCCATTTTATCATTAGGTGGTTTGTCTTTTTGTTATTGGAGTTTTTCTATATTTCAGGTACCTTATTACTATGGAATATAGGATTTCAAAGATGTGCTCCCAGTTGGTAACTTGTCTTTTCATTGTTATGATAAAGTCTTTTGATGAATAGAAGATTTGAAAGAAGTCCAAATTATTTGTCTTCTGCTGTTTGAATTTTTTCTTTGAACTTGTGTACGAGGAAAGGGTGCCTACCTCTCCCTTTCTATTCAATATTATCTATGTGGTATTATAAGTCCTAATCAAAAAATAACACAGGAAAGAGAAATAACAGGTATCCAAGTGGATAAGAAGAAGCAATTTCATCATTATCCATGGGTGATATGGATAAATAGAGAATCCAAGAGTATGAAAGCAATGATGAAACAGACAACTGTCCTCTAGATCCTGAATGCTTCCTCCCCATCTCCCCCTCAATCATAATCCCAATTCTACCTTAGAAATCCAGCTAGACCAGAGGATGTACACTGGTGCAGATAGCAACTGGAAACACAGGGAATCCAGGGTGGATGATCCCTTCAGGACCAGTGGTGAGAGTGGCGATATCGGGAGGGTGGAGGGATGGTGGGGTAGAAAGGGGAAACCGATTACAAAGATCTACATGTAACCTCCTCCCTGGGGTACGAACAACAGAAATGTGGGTGAAGGGAGATGTCGAACAGGGCAAGATATGACAAAATAATAATAATTTATAAATTATCAAGTGTTCATGAGGAGGGGGGCATGGGAAGGGAGAGGAAGATGAAGAGCTGATACCAAGGGCTCAAGTAGAAAGCAAATGTTTTGAGAAATGATTATGGCAACGGATGTACAAATGTTCTTGACACATGGATGTATATATGGATTGTGATAAGAGTTGTATGAGCCCCCAATAAAATGATTTTTTAAAAAGAAAGAAAGAAAACTCCTAGAATTCGTAAAACAATTTAGCAAAGTTGCAGAATAAAAAATCAGAAAGGGAAATTATGTAAGTAATTCCACAAACAATAGCATCTAAAAATAAAATACCTAGCAGCAAGCCTTATCAGGATGTGAAGGAATGCTGCAGCCTGACCGACAGCCCCCAGTACAACAGCCGACATGAAAGGAGACGGGTAAATGGCAAAATCGTCCGTGCCCCTGTGAGGAA